TCAGTGAGGTCATATGATACATGTCTTTCTCTGTTTGACTTATTTCACTCAGCATGATACCCTCCAGTTCCATCCATGTCATTGCAAATGGCAAGATTTCATTCCTTTTGATGGCTGCCTAATATTCCATTGTATATATATACCACATCTTCTTTATCCATTCATCTGTCGATGGACATCTTGGCTCTTTCCGCAGTTTGGCTATTGTGGACATTAAGCATGTGACTTTTGATCTTGAGTTTGTGAGTTCAAGCCTCATGTTGTGCATAGAACTTCCTCAAAAAATTTTTTTAAATAAAATGAAAAAGAAAGATATCTGTGAAGTTAATTATTTTCAGTGCTCCCTAGGCCTCCCTGCTATGGTATTGCATCTGCATTCCCATTTATTTGGCTTTTAGAAAAGGATACACCAGGGTGCATAAGACAGTTCAATTTTAGCATAGGGCAAAATAATTGAAAAAAAAAGTAGAGAGCTGACACAAAAGTTGAACTCTTTATGTAAAAAATTGCATCAATAATTTATGTAAGAAATAAGAAACTCATTTCTAATCCAATATCTGGTATTAAACTAATAGGTGAAATTAAATAATTAACCATTTACTTTCTTCAATTTCCTTATCCTGAAAAGTCCTTAAATTACATACTTTTAAAGTGCTTATATTAAGCAAATCTATTACCATTTCTATGAATAAAAAGTAGAAAATATATTCTATTTATTTTTGCCAGATTTTGATGCTTGGAGGCCAGATTGTCATAATTTTTTCATTTCATAGTTACAGAGATGTAGAAATAATGAGTACGCTTTGGTGTCCTCTTATTTTTGGAAGCATTTAAATGCACATCTCTTTACCTTCTGAACAAGATCCAAAACATTTCAGAAACAAGTGTGTCACTACACAGCTATCAAGTGTTGGTGCTCTTGAAAAGTCATTTTCATAAACGATGGCATACATCCGCACTTTGTTGGTTTGTCTCTTATGGAGACGTACGTGAACACACTTACAGCTTTATACTTTCTGGAAGCAGGAAGTGGTGCCATACGGTAATGTTTCCCCCCAGAAGAAATGGCTCAGTGTGCTGTGTCTGGAGTCTAAGACTCTTAAGTCAGCCAGAAAACTGTGCTTGGTTAGCATTAACCTGTATTGTCTGTTAATCGTCATGCCTCCTGCTCTTGATTTCTTATTTATTTTTTGTTTTGTTTTCAAAAAGGAAAATAACACATGTGGAAATACAACCCTCCTTCATTGCACCCTTCATTACGTTTCTTTTATCCCGCCCCCCCCAGATCCGAGTCTCCCAAGGCAAAGAGCCTGCTCACCTGCTGAGTTTGTTCAAAGACAAACCGCTCATTATTTACAAGAATGGAACATCAAAGAAAGGAGGTCAGGCGCCTGCTCCCCCTACACGCCTCTTTCAAGTCCGGAGAAACCTGGCATCTATCACCAGAATCATGGAGGTAATGTCGTGCATTCAATAAAATGTGCCCTGTTTATGGACTTCCCAGTGGACCTGAGCCATCAACAAATATTAGTCTTCAAAAAATTGGCAAGCAAATTCCCTCTATTTCGATAATTAATCCGTTGTTCACAAAAAAAAAAAAAACCCAAAACCAAAAAAAAAAAAAAAACCCAAAAGCAGGAGAACCAAGTTAAAAGTTAACGATGGATACCAGGCCTCTCACATTTTTCAATTGCATTGTACCAAAAAAAAAAAA